TGTTCGACTTTTTTGTGCGAGTCAACTTATTTAAAAATTCTTCGCTGATTAACAAGACATCTGAGGGAGTATTCTTCAGGTAAGGAGGAACCGGCTGCACTACAGTCTGTAATCACGCGATGTATATTTCAAGATGATACAGCCAGCATTTGTAATTTGTCAGTTTGTTTGCTTGTCAGTGCTGAACAAGTCTAAGTTAATTTACTTAGATTTGTTCAGAACTTTGGCTGCTTAAACCGGCTAATCACTAAAAACACCTCACACTTTACAAACGGAGGCCGGGTCACATATATGAGGTAAAACATTTGCGATCTGAGCCCCACTCCCAGAAAAAAAATTCAGTTAATTTTATCTTTAAGAGCTGAGGGTGGAAGAAACGATTATGATCAGAGTTTTCGACAGCTTTCTTAATTAGGTGCCGGATTTTTTCCTGAAATACCGACGGCCAACGTTTGCCACAAGTCGACTTCATGAATTTCAGGGTAGAATATGTTAGGCCGCGAAGCGTAGTGAATAAACAAGACGAAGGACTTTTCAGAAAGTCTACCGCCTCTCCTGAGATCGGAGAAACAGTTCACCACTAGAACTCTTCTGAAAAAGTCAAATATGTAATAACCGGTACACTTCGTTGGAAGGGGAAGAGTATGGCAACAAAATCATTTTCAATTTCATCATTTGACACTGGGATTGAAAGGTTATGATTCTTGGTTGTCAAAAAAAGATGTACGGTAGTAATCTCAATAGTTATCTGTTATGCTCTGGTTTAATTATGAGAAACCATGAGATTAAGACCGACTTATCACTAAATTATAAAAACACCTCACACTTTGGTTCGGTCACATATATATACGATATAAAGCGTTTACGATATCAAGAAAAGAGAAAAATTCAAATATGTGGCATCTAAGTACCGGCCATAGCATGGTACACAACTGGACGAAGCGTTCGGCCTCTCGTCTGGAACAAAAACCCTGATCATCATGGCGAATTCTATGTTTAAGACTGAGGAATTTCATCAAGAAAAGTCGACGATAATATAGGGAAATGAAAAAAGTGGGGTGGTTTTTATGTTATCTGAATTTTGCACCCGTACGCATCAAGTTTACATGCAAAACAACTCTTCAGCTTTCAGCTCTTCGACATGCATCTGCATTTGTGTTCATGCTCCTTTAATTTTTTTCATCCCTCGCTTGTGACCTTACGTCACAAGTTTTTCTTTTTCCTAACACAATCCCTTTCTCTTAATATTTGTTTTCTAGATCTCCCTCGGTTGGTGGCCCAGACATAAATGCGACAAAGGAAGAAGAAATTCCGCCTGATGAACAAAAAGACGAAAGGTGAGACATCATGTCTTTTATCGTGTAACGCCCTCATGCAATTTAAAAGAAGCGGCCACGGGAATAATCTCTACAGAGTGTTTTCACATGACTTCACGACGGCCATGTTGGTGTTCCAAACAAATTTATGAGAATGGAAGTGAATATATGAGAGATCATATATTTGAACTAGGGAGAAAGATATGAAGACATGACTGATCATTGTTTAATTAAACGGGATTGGAACCCATGACCTCTGCCATACCGGTGCAGTGCTCTAC